TAAAACTCAACACCGGTAGCTTAAAACAATCAAAACCATGTTGTTTGCGCATGGAAAACAATTAAAGCCTCGATTACAAAACATTTAAATATTCCTGGCAGCATTATTTATCAGTCGATGAATATCCAAAAATTAGTTTACAAAACGAGTATCGACTCATGAATCGTAGCCTAAAAGCTTCAAATAATTGTAATGAATTAAATCCGCATTAGTTCCATGCATTTCCTATCACAAATGGTAAAATTCAAGTGTTGGAATAATTACATGAATCGAAAATTTAATGTCAAAAAATTGAATTACCATTCAATTCGACTCAAGAATTATGTGAACTCATGAATTCGATGTTATGCCTCAACAAAATCCAACATCGACGTAATTCTCATCACAAACCGTCAATCCACACAAATTAACATTAATCAACATTATCAAAACGTAACCAGATTAAGTTTCAAGCTTCTCATGAATTTACCGAATTCTCAACCAATTTTGGATTTCAACATAATAAACAATTCAAAAATTAACCAATTCAAGATGCAATTTCAAACAATCTCAACAATTCAATTAAATCATGTAATGCAATTTGAAATTCAATTCATAGTTCAATCAAATCAATATGCAAGAAATAATTAATTCAAGATTTAAGAATTAGAAACTTACTGGATTGAAGAAAATCGAAGGAGATGATTGGAAAATCAAACACGGTGTCGAAGGGAGAATCTGCCGCGAAACACGATGGAGAGAAGGAGGGATTTGCGGCCCGAAATGGCGGAGCGGCGGACGGTGTTACGGCCAATATTCGTTGAGGTCATCAAAGAGTGAGGCGGTAGTCGAAGGAGGGTGGTGGCGCAGTGGATTGGAGGAAGAGAGAGAAAGCTTGACACAGAGGAGAGAGAGATGAAGATTTGCAACTTTTCTTCAATGTTCTTGAGTTTTTTTTTAGAGAGGGAGAGAGAGAGAGTAGAGAGAGTTATGTGATTTTTGATAGTGAAATTTAGCAAATGATTTGTGTGTATGTAAAATAAAGAAGAGAATTGAATATATAGTCTCAACAAACTGGGCTTTGGTTTGGGCCAAGAGAAATCAATTTCTTCACAAAACTGAATTTTTAGTGTCAGCAAATGCATCTGAACGGAAAATCCACGACCTCAATAATAATCGGTGCAAAATCTCGATGTGAGACCAACACAAAAATCGTAGATGACGAAATTTGTGACATTGTGTCAAATAACGGATGCGATACGATAAAAAATAAGCAAGTTATAAAATTTTGAATGGCAAGAAATCAGACCAAAAAAATCTGCAGTACAACTTATTTTACCGGTCAACTTGAAAAACGAAAAATAACAGAAGCCTTCAGAGTACCGTTCGAACTCAGGACCTGAAACAAAGTTGTAGCTAACAAAATTTGTGATCTCATACTTAGAGAACCATCCCGATACAAGAAAAATCGAAAGAGTTGCAATTTTTACGATATCGAGAAACAGTGAACCAGAGCTCTAATTTTGTTGTAAAAAATTCTCTGATAATTCACATTTTCAGAGATCTTTTGGCAAAGAATTGGCCTTCGATCCGAAAATACGAAATGTGAGGGACATTAAGACAGAATATACGCTTAAAGAACCAGTAAAAAATGTCGAACCCGACGAAAATTATGAATTTTTGAACGTCCTAAAAATAATAGTTCAACACGCTTTTTCACTATATTTTCCATCGCGCATCTTCAACGTATTCGCGCATTCAGAGACCTTCTTCAAAGAATTTGGTCTCGGCCTGAACACATGAATTGGAGAAGACATCAAGATAGATTTTATGGCTGAAGAACCATTCAGAAATATTGAGCCAGATAAAAGTTACAAATTTTCGAACATCCGAGCCACAATTGACCAGCAAAACCCAAAACTCTGGTTATTTAAATCTTCAGCGGTCTTCTTCATGAAATTGGCATTCGGTATGAACATACAACAAATAAAATGTCCGAAGAACCACTGAAAAATCTTCTTCTTACCAGAAGTTATAAAATTCTGAAACCCACTGTAACAAACAGACTTTTAATTCAAATTGTTCCGGACTGAGCGAAACACTTGATTTTCTCTATTGTTCAAGACATGTTAAAACACACAGGAAGTTGGCATGATGATGACTTGATTATACATTAATTGAATAGCCTGGAGAAGGCTCTGAATGCGTTGAACGGCGAAATAAATGTCTTTAGGAACCTCACGAAGCTTGAGAGAAATATCTTGATCCCGTAATCACATAACCAATGATATGCATGCATGCATATGGTAATGAAATATAAGCCAAATAGATTAAATTGAAGAGGATAAATTTTGGGGTATAACAGTAAGGAAAAGGCATACGCTTAGTCCATTGTTCTTCCTAGGTCTCTCTTTTATTGGTTCGAATACCCTTTTTTCAGATAGAGTGCCTCTTCTCCGGATACATCCCCTGAGACCTTAGTGCCTTCGTCCATAACACGCGATCATGTGTAAAACATGTATTAGGAATCATGGGATTTAACTGCGCTCCCTAGGTTTCTGAGAAATAATCACCCAATCTCAGAGTGGTTGCGGTATTTTAGAAAGACTGGAACCCATTCCTAAGAGATTATAAATACCTCAATACTGTAATAGAATTACATAAGTAATACACACATATACTAGCTTATCACCTCACATGAACTACCTCTCAATACCATAATAACCATAAAATCTTTAACAACTTTTATTCACTAGGAGTTATCACGCATTTATACTTTTTAACAAGTATAAAATTCATAAGAGATTTTGCCTCAACAAGGTTAAGATAAAGGATTTCAAAATGTTATCTTTTAATCAGATTCCACTAAATTAGTGGATTTTTATTTACATAAATATTCCACTTTTCATCCTTATGCCCCCGCCCCCTCATTAGACATATTCATCGCCAGCAAATGGGGTTTAAAACATATCTTTTCAATACACTCTCAAAAAAGACATGAATATGTAAAATGACGCAAAATATTGAAATATTCGAACTAGTTATTTTCCCCGACTCAATATTGTGTTGCAGGTCGATGTTGTATACATTGAGCCTGCTTTCTTTTCTTTTCCTAAGGTTTTAAACAATAGTTTAGTACAAGAATTTAGGTTGTAATAAAACAATATTCACAATCGTTGTTGTTTTTCCCTATTTTAACGTAGTAGAAAAATTCCAATGAAATGTCTTTACAATTGCGACATGACGTCCTTATGTCGCGGTCATTCAAAAAATAGAGAAATAATATTTGTTTTCAATTGAAATAAATGAAAATCACATTTTTAGTTAGTTGGCTATGCTCACTATAGATTTCATAATACTTTTAACATCGTAGATCGATTGACCATATTGCGCGAGGTGAAAGTAGGAGGTCCATATTTTTTTTATGGGTTGAGTTTCTTTATGGTCAGATAATGATGTTGTACCTTAGGATGGATATATTGTATCACCCATTAGAGTGTAACAAGATAACTCGTTAGGGTATCTATTTTTTACTCTTGTGTTGCATCCTCTTATTCATAAGATAAGAGACAATCACAAGCTTCTTCTCCATGCCTAATATTTTTAATGACGAGGACATCATAAGAGATTCAGAGGAGGTGGCTAAAGTCATTGACATTATTCAGGAAACAAGTCTAAAATTGGGTCATGAATTGATTATTCATAACACATAAATCTTTTAGCCTTTGTGTGATGGAAGTAAACTTCATTAGGGATTATTCCTTTTGAACATTAGGAGGTTGGTGTTGGGGATGAAATTGCTTGGAGGCACTGTTTGTCAAAATTGAGGTTTTATCAAGGGATTGTCCATGAAGAGACCTTATAAGTTTGTTGAGTTAATTCATCTTCTCCCACAGTTAAAGAATCCACAAAGTGAGCTTCTTCTACTGTGATCTTGCATGAATATTGTCAAACTTTCCTTGGGCCCAAAAACATGTAATCTGATTCACATGGAGGAAACAACTATTTAGTTTGATAAAGAGTCGCGAAGAGTGGTTAAAGTCATAGTGGTCGGTGGAGGTCTTTCTTTAGGAACCTTTAATGTATGGTGACTTATTTACCTAACAGAATCGGAGAGTTGAATTTGTACTCGACAATATAGATTACCTTGTATACTTTTATAACATACATGCCACAACCTTATGTGTTATAAGATCATATTGAAAAATATTGGAATATTTGACACCAACTCTAATTTTGAGGGAAATTTCTTACCCCATCCCATATGGAAAATGGACACCCTATGCAATTTCAAAATTGTTCCTCAGAAAATTGGGGTTCGGACCATATTTTGTATAAAACATACCAAATATAGTTTCACCCTTCAAAATGTAAAAAATGGTACCGGAGGTATATTTCCGATTCTAAATCAAAATTTTGTTTTCGATTCTATTAGCAGGAAGAGTGAATTTGTTGTCACCTTAACATTTCATATATAACCGGAAGTATAATTCCGGTTTTATGGACAGAATTGTATTGTGAGATTATGATACAATTCAATAACGTTTTCTAATTTCTATAAAGAATAAAATCGAAAATACACCTCCGATTCTAAGCCAGAATTAAATTTCTAATTTCTATGTATATTTTATCATATCTAGATACGCACTGAAAATATACTTTTAATTTTGAATGACATTTATATGCGTAAGAATGTTATGGAATGGGTTAAAAAATTGAAGAGAATATTGAACAACACGTGTCGTATGATTTTGTTTTCTTCCTTCCCACACAGTCAAAAACTAAAAAACACGAGAACTCAATCGTGCCAATTGCGGTACTTAACTCAGCACTTACCAGCTACCATCTCTTCACCTGAACAACTTCTCTGCTTAAATCTTCAAACCTCTCAACAGCACCAAATTTGTTTCCATTTCCTCCAAATCCCAATCCCAATATCTCACCGATAATTCCCAAGTTACTCTCTGTCCATTCACCTTCTCTTCCTTCATTCCATTATTTCTACCCCATAGCAGAACAAGATGCAACTTGATCTGGAATCATTGTCTGAAGCTACTTCCGGAGCAATTGGATCCCTTGTCAGCACCACCGTCTTGTACCCACTTGATACATGTAAAACCAAATATCAAGCTGAAGTTCAAGCTCGTAATCAGAGAAAATATAGGTTATTATAACTGTTTTTCACCCATGACAATTGACCCCCAATTTTATTATTTGCTAATTATGTTCTGTGATAATTATGATTCCATGATCTGATTTTTTGTCAATGTTTCATGTAAGCTGTTTTGTTCTATATCATACTTGACTTTAGTTTCAAAAGGTTTGCAAAGATATGGGTTTATCTTTGACAATGTTGATCCTGAAAAATACTTATTTGTTCAAATTCTTCACCCGTTATAACAGCGATTTCACAATATTGTTAAGTTATGCTTATTTGATTTTGTTGCTCTAACCCATGTAGGAGAATTTCTGATGTTCTATGGGAAGCAGTTTCTAAACGTCAGGTGCTTTCTTTGTACCAAGGCCTTGGGACGAAAAATGTCCAATCCTTCATTTCGTCGTTTATTTATTTCTATGGATACAGCTACTTTAAGAAACTATATTTGAAACAAACTGGAAACAAGAGCATTGGAACAACAGCAAACTTGATTGCCGCTACTATGTCTGGCGTTTGTACTATACTAATAACACAGGCAAGTCGAAATTTTAATTGTTGTTTCAAAGAAAATTTAACTTCTGTGTAGTTTCTAGGTTCTACTCATAGCACAACATTCTTATCTACCGAAAAAACTGCTAGATCTTCAGTAATATACTATTATTTCCTATTTTGCAGCCCTTAGATACAGCATCCTCGAGGATGCAAACAAGTGAATTTGGAAAATCCAAGGGACTATGGCAGACCTTATCAGAGGGTACCTGGAGTGAGGCATATGATGGCCTGGCCATATCTGTTCTTTTAACAACAAACCCATCTATTCAGGTATCAATCTATCACACTCTGAATATTTATAGCGGAGTGGAGGCCGGCTGTTATGGGAAGAGCCTTAGTGGTGCAGAACACTATAGCAGATGCTATAGGGTAAATAGCGGGTAGCAGGGGCAGAGCGGTTTCTGTCCCACTATCCTTTTCCCCTAAAAAAAAACGAAATTACTCTTTAAATTTAAAACTTTTTAAGAGTAATTTTGGGGTTTTCAATCAAATTTAAGCTGACTCAACCCTAACCTTCCTTCACCGATGTTTTTGCACTTAGTTGTTCCAAAGAAAAATCACAAGTTCCTTCCTCACCTCTCTGTGCACGTCATTCTTGCCTCTGCACTTCATATGTTTATAATTACTATTATTATTCATGTAATTTGTCCAAAAAATGATCAAATAGCGGTCGTCCCGCTATACGCTATCCGGGATTGACTTCTCTGGGCTCAATGTAACCTAAAGAGCATCTGTTATTCTAGATTTTGTCTATAAGATTAAGACTACCCATACTTAGACAGAGATTTTATCCTCCAACAGTATACTGCATTCGATCAGCTGAAAAACAGACTACTAAAGGGAAAAGTGAGCAAGAAGACCGATGCAAAGTCGTCCCCAGAATCGCTGTCTGCATTTAATGCTTTCTTACTGGGTGCAGTTTCAAAATGCGCAGCTACATGCTTGACATACCCGGCTATCAGGTGGATGATAAACTTACATTATTTTCCCCGTGATTTTTCATTTGTGTTAATATACAGATTTTTCTTTTGTCTTTTCCTTTGTTTATGCTATATTATGGACTTGCTGATGAAAGATGTTTTGAATTGGCAATAGGTGTAAAGTTACGATTCAGGCTGCTGATTCATATGATAATAAGAGTACAGAAGCGGAGAAGAAGGCACAGAAGACAATCTCTGGAGCACTCTATACAATTTGGAAAAGAGAAGGCCTCTTGGGATTTTACAATGGATTGCAGGCGCAGATATTGAAAACTGTTCTCAGCTCTGCATTACTTCTGATGGTAAAGGAGAAGATCACAAAGTCGACATGGATTCTGATGCTCATGATTGGAAGATACTTTTCTGCCTATCCCCCCAAATTGAAAGCACCTTGAATTTGTGCTCGACATACTACAAACAATTTCTCATTTAAGATGTGCTAAAGTTAGCTTTGTTTACTATGGAGGTAAGTAGTGACAGGTGCATAGAATGCGAGTATTGCTAGCTATTAGAGTAACACTCATGTAGAATAATTCTGTTTGTAAGCCTTTGTTATAACTGACATTGTCAGCTTACCTAAATGAGAAAATTGTGATCTCTCTTTGTAACTAACTTTTCATAAATCTAAATTTAGTTATAACTGAAAATGAAAGTTCTGTTATTGGTTTCTATCATGGTATCAGATTGTTAAAGTCGATCCACGCCTTCTCCACCAGTAACGCCTTCCGCTTCTGTATCTTCTCCGGCGATGCCAGTCGCGGTTGCGAATGATGAATCGCGCCGCCTTCACTTCTCTCTCAAGATCGCGCACAAGTTTGACGAGAAGAATTTTCACCTCTGGCGTCAGCAATTGGAACCCTACATCAACGAGCACAATCTCACAGATCTTGTTGTCTATCCGCGAATCCCTTCGCAATTTCTAAGCGATGAAGATCGTCGCAAAGGTACGATCAATCCTGCATACTCAGTTTGACTTCAGAAAGATCAGCTTCTTCTGTCGTGGCTTCAATCTACACTCTCGAGCGAAATTCTGTCGCGAGTTCTTGGCTGCTCTCACTTGCATCAACTATGGGATCGTTTGTTCAGCTATTTTCAGAGGCAAACATGCGCTCGTGCTCGTCAACTTCATGTTGAATTACGTGCCCTAACTCTTGACACAAACTTTGTTTTCTGATTATCTGCTGAAAATTCGTACGATTGTGGATTCGTTAGCCTCAATTGGAGATCTTGTACCTAACACTCGTCACATTGATGTGATTCTTGAAGGTCTCCCTGCTGAATATGCTCTTGTGGTCTCAGTTGTTGAAAGTAAGTTTGGGGAAATGGAGCTAGATGAAGTTGAGATTCTCTTAATTGCACATGAATTGCGTTTAAACAAGTTCAAGAAGCAGCCTGTACCAGACCTTGTTTCTCTCAATCTCACACATGTTTCCCCTCAATCTCCTGCACCTGATACTGCTCAATCTAGCAGTACTGATTCCACTCCCACAAATCCCATTGAACCTGATTACTCTAGTTTCAGAGGTGGAAGAACACATAGAGGGGGGCGTGGAGGTAAAGGCAGAGGTGGCAGGAACTCTAATATCCAATGCCAAGTGTGCTCTAAAGTTGTTCACTCAGCACTCAACTGCTGGCATAGGTTTAATCAGCAATTTCAGCCTCACTCCAAGAGCAATCTTCATTCTGCAGCTCCAGTCAGTTTTACTCTTCTTATCACCCTCACACACCTCTCACACTTAAAAATCTCTTACATGTTCCATCCATCACTAAGAATCTAATCAGTGTCAGTCAGTTTTGTCGTGACAATCATGTTTTTTTTTTCTTTTCACAGTTGATTCTTGTCTTGTGAATTCTCAAGTGTCTAATGTTATCCTTCGGTTGGTAAAGTTGGCTCAGATGGCCTCTATGAGTTTGTTTCCAAGTCTACCAAGTCTGCATTTTCAACAAATAAACTTGTACCTAGTGTTAATGCAACTAATATTTCCCCTACTTTGTCTAATGTATGGCACTTAATACTAGGCCATCCCAATATTCACACTCTAAAACTAGTGTTGCAAAGCTTTAATATTCCATTCAATAATGAAGTTCATGAACATTTCTATTCAGCTTATTGTGTTGATAAAGCTAATAGATTGCATTCACCATCTTCACACACCACTTATAATTATCATGTTGAACTTGTCTATTGCGATCTTTAGGGCCATTCCCCTCAACCCTCCACTCAAGGGTTTAATTATTACATATCTTTTGTTGATGTCTTCTCCAAGTTTACTTGAATTTATATACTTAAGTCCAAAGTTGAAGCTCTAAACACATTTAAACAGTTCAAAGCTCTAGTTGAACTGCAACTTGGGCATCAAATTAAGGCTGTGCAATCAGATTGGGGTGGGGAGTTCAGATCATTCAGCAAGTTCCTCACTGACTTGGGAATACTGCACAGAGTCATATGCCCTCACACACATCACCAAAATGGTGTTGTGGAGAGGAAACATAGGCACATTGTGGACCTGAGGCTCACTCTCTTACCTCTATCCTACTGGGACTATGCCTTTTCCACAGTCATCTATCTCATCAATAGACTTCCCTCCACTTCCATCAAATCTCAGGTTCCCTATTTTCTGTTGTTTCACTCGATGCCTGATTATAAGTTCCTGAAAGTTTTTGGTTGTGCTTGTTTTCCATTGTTAAGACCCTATCATGCCCACAAATTAGTGTTCAGGTCTCAAGAGTGCTTGTTCTTGGGTTATTCTACTCCTCACAAGGGTTACAGGTGCCTATCTCCTTGTGGCAAGATGTACATCTCCAAAGATGTACTCTTCAATGAATCCAAATTTCCATACTTGGAATTGCTTTCCAAGCCTGCTAGCCATTCTGTCCCCACTTCTACAAAATCTCATTCACCTTCTGATCTGCAGCCTCTATTGCCTACATTTGACTTGCCAAAACTTGTGCTTATTACAGTTGTTCCCTTCTCTCCTGCACCTAATGTTGTGTCCCCTAGCTCCTCCACACCATATGAGTCTCCTGGTTTGTCAAATCAGCCAGGTGCTTCCAGTAACACTACTACAGAACCTGCTTCACCATCTTCTTCCTCTGAGCACACTTCTATGAGTGCTTCTCCACAACCTCTTGCATCAACTTCTTCATCTGATGTAGCCTCAGAGTCCTCAGATTTTATTCCTCCCAACGTTGTACCTATTTCTCACAAGCCTATTAATCATCACTCTATAAAAGCTAGAGCTAAATCTGACTTTGCTCAACCAAGGTTGCAACCTAAGTTGTTACTTACCCATACTGAACCCAAATTATCAAACAGGCTCTTGCAGATGCCAAGTGGAAAAGAGCTATGTAGACAGAATTTGATGCTCTATGCACAAACCAGACTTGGTCACTTGTTCCTCTCCCCCCAACAGATAACCCATTGGGTGCAAGTGGGTTTTTCGCATCAAAGAGAATCCAGATGGCACTGTTAGCAGGTATAAGGCACGCCTGGTTGCTAAGGGCTTCCATCAGAAGCAGGGCTTTGATTTTAAGGAGACGTTCTCTCCAGTTGTTAAGCCAATTACCATCAGGCTTATTCTCACTATTGCTCTCACTCAAAAGTAGTCATCCAGCAGCTTGATGTTAACAATGCCTTTCTAAATGGCTTGTTAACTGAAGAAGTATATATGGAACAACCTCCTGGATTTATTGCCTCCAATCCCTCTCTTGTTTGCAAATTGCACAAAGCCCTCTATGGCCTAAAGCAGGCTCCTAGGAAGTGGTTTGAAAGGTTGTAGTCTGCTCTTCTCAAACTCCAATTTAAACCCAGCAAGTGTGATCTTTCACTCTTTATATTTGCTTTAAATGGCCATACTATCTACCTCCTGGTTTATGTTGATGATATAATCATCACTGGAAGTAGTTTCTCCCTTCTGATGGACATTATTGCTAAACTTAACTGTGTATTTTCTCTCAAACACCTTGGTAACTTTGATTATTTTCTTGGTATTGAGGTGAAGACCACTGCTCAAGGTTCCATGGTATTAACTCAGACCAAGTATATTCGTGGTCTGCTGCACAAAACCAATATGACTGACTCCAGTCCTGTTAATTCCCCCATGCAATCCACTTGCAAACTCACTAAAACTGACTCCCCATGCCTTGACTGATCCATTCATGTACATGTCCACTGTTGGGGCGCTTCAATATGCCACTATCACTAGATCTGACATAGCCTATGTTGTCAACAAGGTCTGTCAATTCATGTCTCACCCTCTGGAAACTCATTGGATTTGCAGTAAAAAGGATTCTCAAGTACCTTAAAGGTACCATTCAGCATGGACTGCATATATATCCTCACTCACCTGCTTACCTGCCTTCTCTCAGAGTGTTTTGTGATGTTGACTGGGCCTCAGATCCATATGACTTGAGAAGCACTTTTGGTGCTGCCATATATTTTGGGGGTAACTTGATATCTTGGTGGTCCAAGAAACAACAAGTTGTTGCTAGATCCAGCACAGAAGCTGAGTACTGAAGTCTGGCTCAAGCCACAGCATGAACTGTGTATTCCTACTCAGCAGCCTATTGTTCTTTGTGACAATCAGTCTGCGGTTCTGCTGGCTCACAATTCCATAATGCATTCCAGGACTAAGCATATGGAGATTGACCTCTTTTTTGTTAGGGAAAATGTTCTAGCCAAGCAGATTATTGTTGCTCATAATATTTCTGGTGTTGATCAAATAGCAGATGTTCTCACCAAATTAACACTCATTGTGTAGAATAATTCTCTTTGTAAGCCTTTGTTATAACTGACAACTGTCATCTTACCTAATGTAGACCTGCTATTATAGGTCACATAGTTTGCACCTATATAAACAAATTGTGATCTCTCTTTGTAACTAACTTTTCATAAATCCAAATTCAGTTATAATTGAAAATAAAAGTCCTGTTATTGGTTTCTATCACTAGCTGTTAAGAAGGTGTTTCTAAAATAAGAATACAAAATAAAATGAAAATTCAGATAATAATTTCTTTCTTTTCGACTATGATTTTCTCCCATCAAGATTTTTTAGTTTAGTATTGTGTTGTGCACTTGCAAACTCAAGAATTATATTATTGATAACAACGACAACAAATAACAACCCTTTGGGAACAACATTCTCCGATTTTCCTTACTCTCACATTCAACAGACATTTATGTTATTAAACAATAGAAAAACAGTTATCTTCATTGTTTCCATTTTAACACTCAAAGTTAAATCTTTCTGGCGGTAGCACGAGTTTCTGACCGGTAACAAAACTGATAGATGAAGCATTGCCAATAGCCATCCTCTAGGTTTCATAACATGAAAATGTTGGCAGCTAACAAGAGCATTGAGCAATAAATCATTCCAACTTTGGAAATCAGGTTTCCAGCATTAGAACTATAGGGAGCAAAGTTTCCTGTAGGAGTGTCAGTGGTCAAGACAACAACGATCCAGTTATCTTCCGAGCCAATACCGATTCCTGTAAACTGTGTGTCGTTGAGATTCTCCGAGTAGAGAGATTTCGTGAAATTCGCGAGGACAAGGGTTGAAGCCAGGCCAGGAACACAAGCAGGCATTACAGTTCCATCCTTTGTATCAGTAATAGCCAAGTGACACTTAGCTAAAAGGTTTGGATAGTTTGAGAATTGAGGTTCTGTGCCTGGTACTGTATTAGCACCTGTGGTATTTGTACATGGTTGGTTCTTGAATTGATCTGCTATTCTATCAGCAAGGCAATCTGCGTTTTTGTTTTTCGTAAGAGATTTCAAGTTTAACGATGCTCGATACTTGTTGATACCCTGATAAAGATTATCTTTCTCATCTGCAGAAAATTTTTTAACAAGTGCAGGATCAAAAATCAAGATGTCAACTTATCTGTGAATGTTTAAGATGCATTCTGACCTCGTTAAAATACAACGTGCCCGTTGCAGTAACGAGATCAAGGTAAAGATTGTTTGATGAAGATCTAACAATACATAACTTTGATCTCATAACAACGGCGAAGACATCATATTATGACTTGTGAGTGCAGTGAACCTAAATTCTTGATTTTGATCTTGTATTCTTTAGTTTCTAAACCAATTCAAAATATGGTTCAACAACACGCGAACGATTATATCATGGCAAATTTTAAGATCAGTAAGGTACTTACCGTCACCACATTTAACCGGATGATTTATCAAGAGAATGACATATGAAGAAAGGAGAATCCACAAGAGAAGAGAGAATTTAGGCAGCAGCACCATTTTTTGTAGATGGGTTGTGTCTGAAGGAACAAGAATTGTGGTGGCTGGTGCTTAGAGAAAGAGAGTTCTACACCTTTGGATTCTATATGTGGGTGTAACGTTTGTTTACTTGTGTTGGGTGGTTTACTGTTACTTGTAGCAGAAGGTAGATAGATGTAATGGACATCATACTGACATTGAAGAAGACATTGCAACGGTAAGAAATGACAATGGTTTTAAGGGAAGCTGTTACGGAGTCTCTTTCTTGAATGGTTGCATGCATTGATATATGACATATTGGAAGGAAATTTCTTAGACCCTCAAATCATAGCAATTTTGCTATGTTAATGCTGATAAATGTCTTCAAAAGTAAACACTGATTTATTAAAAAAATGAATAACATCACCTTTTAATAAATAAAAATAGGAAATTCATTTTATTAGTCTTATGAGGTTGATATGTTTTAGACGTAAACTATAGTGCACAAAAGTATCCTCATTTCAAATAAACGTTGTAGAGTGATAAAGGAATTTAATTATCCAGTAATCCGTAATAATAAAAGAACCCTGGCTTTTTAATATCTATTCGAATTTGGAAAATTATCATGATATTAGATTTGGATTTCATTAGTTAACTACATCACACAATTTTCAATGTCAAACATTTGGTGCAACGAAAACTGATTTTGTTATTGTGTATTCTAAACTATTTAATTTCAATAATCATTTGTCTTGTGAATTGCGCCTTTTTCAACTCAAGGAATCCATGTAGTAAGCTGAATTTTAGGGACCTTGATTCCTTGCAGTTACATTATCCTACATTCACGCATTTAGTCTAATCTAACCGTCCGTCCAATTTTGATTAGACGGTTCTGATTCAAAACATGTAATTTTAAAAGATTAAATCGGTTTTTTCTTAACTGTGTGATTAAAATCAAACAGCTGTTAAAGGTTTGACAATGTGATTGCGGCAACAACTAACTTGACTGCATAGAAACCAATTTGCTTAGGGCTACTTTTTCTTTGGCAAAAAAAAAAAAGCCAAGAGCCTCCTCAAAAATATATTAATAACATCAAAGAGAGGTTACATAGGAAAAGAATCAAGAATCAAGGGGACCAAATTAAAATCCTTCAATGAAAAAGTTTATAATAAAGGAGCCCTCTATAAAATTTCTAGCAAATTCCATAAGAATATGATCCTATGTACAATATCCCACCAAGTTAAGTGATGTGTACATCTACGGATGTTTAAAATCGAAGCAATCCAATAGAAAATCACAAATCGAATCGAATCAAATTGGAACTGCAAAAAATCACATTTGATTCGAATGTGTTTGAACCATCTTTTAACAAAACCGCATGATTCGATTCGGTTTATATTTTACAAATCGAATCGAACCAAACTGAACCAAACCGCATTATGTTACAATTTAAATTTTACGACTCACATCCAACCCAAACATAAACCTATTATACCTTAGCCTTACAATTACGAAAGATTTTCTCTTTACATCTTGTCACTTCTCTAATATCTACTCTCTTATATTCTTTCTTTTTCACCTTCTCATTTTTATGAGACTTTTCTCTTTCAATTTCGTTTTTATCCCACATCTTCACTAATCTCTCCTCTTATAATATTTCCTTTTCATCTTTACTAATCTCTCTATTATCTTGTCATATATATGTGTATGTATGTCTTAATAAAATATTCATAAAAAACCAAACCAACTGAACCGAATCAAATCACGTTAGTTTGGTTTGATTTAGTTTTTTTCTAATATCCAACCGAACCAAACTAAGCCGCACGTTTTTTTTCTCTTGCGGTTTGAATGACTTTTAACATCAAAACTGCCCAAACTACACCACAAACACCCCTAACTACATCTAATTCAATGATAGTTAATGTATTTGATGTGCCGCACATCGATTATCTTCCCTAAATATATGTGTCCATCTATTTTTAGGACATGAATTTAGTGAGATGCGTGACATTTGTCCATCTATTTCTAAATCTCCAAGACACCATAGGTTCGCTAATAGTCGAAATAACCAACTTAAAATCGGATTCTAGGCAAAGATGAGACCAATTCTTGTTTCCATGACCATATTCATGGAGAAACTTCCCAAATGCTTGGAATTTGGGTGTCATCCGTATTACATTTGATCCAGTTTAGAGCAGGATGGTGCCAGAGAAATTTTTTAACCACCCAATTCTTTGGTTGATGAATGAGAAAATTAAAACTTTTAAGAATGTTGAAATTAAATAAAGAGTTGGATGCAGTTTTTAATTTTGCATTACCAGAGTAAGACACGTCTGAAATGATAGAAGAGACTGCTGATTTCCAGTGTGTTCTTATCCTTGAACTTTGACTTGTTTCTTGCTTGCCAAATGGCACTGATAGTGTTGATGATGGCAGACAACACTACAGCTTAATACTACAACTTTGCACTGAGAAGACCAAGGCCTATTCAATGTAATCCAAAGATCATCCAAAGTCAAAAGTATTTAGAAGAATAATTGAAGATAGGTGACTCCAGATGCGGACTGCAAAAGAACAGTTGAAAAACAAATGTTGAGTGGATTCGGTTTGCATAATGCATAGGCTTGCTTACATGGAAGGAGAGTGAAGATCCCTGAAAGCAAGATTCTCATGTGTGGGAAGCCCCTTGGGGGCAGAGGGTTTCAGAATACAATCTGTAACCTACTGTTGGATTGTTTGCATAACACATTCAGTGAAGGCTACTCAACAAGCGGTCATCTATTTTCATCAAAAACAGTTTCTTATAATGAGAACACCATATCTATTGATTCGTTGTAAAAATACCTTGGTTCAAGAAATTCACAAATATGATTGTTCTATTTAGGGTCAGCACTAGTAGAGTCAACAACTTTAGGCGAGTAAAAACAACTTTAGAACACAGAAGCACGGACCAGGGGCACAATAGAACAACAAACCAAGATTAGACAAAATTCAATTTAGCAAAACACAAAAGTTGAAATCAAAAGCTTACAGTCCTAAGTAAGCCAAATTACCATAACCATGCCAAAAAAAAAAAAACAGCTGAATTGATCCCTAACAGATAAAAAACCTAGTACTCTTTCATAGCAACTTATGAACTTCTCAAAAACAGATAGAGTGCAATCCTCATCCTAGTAGAAAAAACCCAACACTTTACCACCAGCATTCTTTCTCCTAGCTTCTTCGTGATCCATGATACCAGCAGAGGTAGTCAAGACAATATATCCAAACTGCAATTTGAACAATCAAAAGTTAGGGACTAATTGAAAAACCACATGATAAAACATAATATTTTAGTAATTGCTTCGTAAGAATTATTTTGACAACATCAATGGCGGCATAAGAAATAAAATGTTGTGTTCTTTAAATACAAAGTATAAGAATTATTTGTATAACCGTATTCTATAAGTTTAGCAATTGCTTCGTTATTTTTAATGTTATTTATTCCCTTTATGCAACTTCCTTCCTCTGCTCTATTGTTTCATTCCCACTATATGCTATCCTGCTATCCCACTTTTGGAGTTGGCCGCTCCACATTGCTATCCAGGACTGACTACTCTGTTCCCAACCATTGGGGGATTGAGTGTAAACGGTCTGTCATTATGATTCACAATAATAATTTCATTTGATACAAATGGCGAGACTTTAGGGACAATTCATACCACTGTGATTTCTAAAAGTTCTAATCAACCCTCTACAAAACCAACCAAGCGTCCAAAACTACTAAACCTATAACATCCAGACACCAAAAGCAAAAGGGAAGAATATTTATTGATCCTCTCATAACAAGGACAGGGAGAAACAAATATTGAACTAAGCTCATATTTGACAAGATTACAATAGCAATGAGTTGAACCAAAATTGGTCAGAGAATGAACACGCTCGTTATTATGTGGTGAAAACAGTGACCAAATTAAATTATCATACTTATTTTATGGCAGACTTAAAAGTGAAGGCTTTTCAACTGACCTGTCTTGAAGGAAGGAGCCTAGCAGTCCATCCCTCAATCTCTTTAACACCAACATCAAAACGAGGACTAATAACACCACACTTGTTCAATCTTCCATTCAATTCCACAACAATTTTGCCAGACCGGTGATCATCAACGTACTCAAACTCCCCAATATAACCTGCAACAACAAACCACATCAACACATAAACTAAAGAACTACAACGAAAACAATAAACACACTGAGCCAAAAAAAAAGTACCATGCTTTTGCATGACCATAAGGAACTTTATAATCACTTTCGAAGACGGCCTAATCATAACTTGACGCTTCCCACGTTTTTCAGCATTGTACATGCTCTTGAGAGCATCATTCAAGACACTAACCCTCACCATATTTGCTATTACAAATCACAACAAGAAAAATCACAATCAACATATAAACCAATGCTATGATATGAACACCAAATGGAAAATTCTAATCAAATAGTTCACAACTAGTCCATATAATAAAAGATCTTAAACTGTACTAACGAATGAGATCGCCGCTAATGAAGGCTGCATTATGATACAAAAGTGTTGATTTTTAGGAATTCTAATGCAATAGAATTCGAAAAAATCAATTTTTGAAGCTGCTTATACAACGAATGAAAGAAACCCTAAAACCGAAATTCATGAATGGTGGAGAAATAGATCTTACCAGAGAAACTGAGTGGTGCTGCAGCTACACAAACTCTCTCTGCGTTGAGGTGAAATCGGTGGCAGGGTTAGGGTTTCTGTGAGACGATTGCGATTCTTGGGGATTTTATTGGACTCATTCTTTTGAGATTTGGGCCATATGGTTGGGCTATTTTTTCAAATAGATTCGTTAATTTAGTGGTTTTTTTGCTACACCCACTCACCTAGTTCTCTCACATATCTCATTTTATAAAACAAAATCGTTTTACACTATATATGAGTTAATCATATGGTTGATTCTAATCCATATGATCTGACTTGTCATCCCATACCAATCGATAAAATTTGTTTAGTTGACTTCTTCCTTTTCCTAATA